GAGTTTTAGGATTTTTGGTATTGGTTTTTTGTTTTGTTTTGTTTTGAGACAGGATCTCTACTACTCACTGTGCAGTCCAAGCTGACCTCATACTCAGAGTGACCCTCCTGCCTCAGTCTCCTGAGTGCTGGAATCACAGCCAAAATGCCCAGTGAGTTTTAAGGTCTTTTTAAATTGTAAACATTGGTATATAACTTACAAGTCCTAAAACTGAAGTGTATAATTCAAGTCTTTTTTTTTTTTTTTTTTTTTTTTTTAATTCTGAATTGTGAAATCACCATCACAATCTAATGTCACCTCAGGAAAGCAAGCCTGTGTCCATAAGCATTCACTCCGGGCCTGGGCAGGTCCTAATGGACTTCCTGTAGCTACACTTGCCCTCATCTGGATGGTCCAGAGATGAAATCCTGTACTCTGGGGTCTTTTGTGACTGGCTTTCTTTCGCTCAGCATGCTAGCGGAACACTGTGCTAGGTGGATGTGCCACGTTTTATCATTTCTTTATTTATAAAAGTATTTTTATTAGTGCTTATTAATTTTTTTTGTCTTTCTGACACAGGGTTTTACTATGTAGTTCAGGTTGGTTGTGAACTCACTTTGTAGCTCAGGCTGGCCTTGAACTCACAGCAATCCTCCTGCCCTAGCCTCCCGAGGGCTGGGATTATAGGCATGCGCCACCATGCCCAGCAGTGCTTATTAATTTGATCTGAACCAGCTAAAACAAAATGAAACAAGCTAATTATTCCTTAGTGTGGCATTGTCACGCACGCATGTAAGATGCTTTGCTTCTGTCCATCTCCCCACAGCTCTTCTCCTGCCCTGTTCCTTTCCTCTCTCTGCTTCACTACTATCTTTTCTTTTTTTAAATTCTACATCTTCAAGAAAATAGGTGATTCTTGTTTTTCTCAGTTGGACTTACTTCACTTAACATGATGGTCTGTCCCACCCTTTTTTTTTTTTTTTTTTTTCAAATGACATGATTTTACCTTTCTTTCTTTCTTTCTTTCTTTTTTTTTTTTTTTCAGAACCAGGGATTGAACTCAGGTCCTTGTGCTTGCCAGGGAAGCGCTTATTCCACTGAGCCATCTCCCCGGCTTGCTTGCTTGCTTTTTTGCTTGCTTTCTTTCTTTCTTTCTTTCTTTCTTTCTTTCTTTCTTTCTTTCTTTCTATTTTTTTTCAGGGAAGGGTCTACAGGGTGTTCAGGGTCTCACTACTAGATCAGACTTATAGTGGTCCCCTACTTACAGCCTCCCAAGAGCTGGGATGACAGGTGTGCACTACCATGCCCAGTCTCAATTGCTGTCTCAGTGCACCCTAGGAGCAGGGCCAGCACAGCAGGCCCGGGTATCAAATCCCTAACCCCTGCACCTGCTTGCAGGTGCTTTAATCTGCTGAGCTATTTGGCCAGCCCTTATTTTTCTTTATAGGTGCATAATAGTTCACTGTGTACCTGCACCACATTTTCTTTACCCAGTGATCTTTTGACGGGAACCTAGGCTGGTTCTATATCTTGGCTATAATGAACTGGCTATGTCTCATGCTATTTACCCATCCAGCTATTCCTGGACATTTGGTTTATTTCTACTTTTGTCTGAGTATTACAAGTGATGCAGAAGGGGGTTGGGAAGATAGCTCAGTAGAATAAGTGCTTCCTTGGCAAGCACAAGGGCCTGAGTTCAATCCCTGGTTCCTCAAAAAAAAAAAAAAAAAAAAAAAAGTGATGCACAAAGTTTTGTGAGCACAAAGGTTTTCAGGTCTCTTGGATCTATACCTAAGAGTGGAAATGTTGGGTCCTATGGTAACTCCTGCTAAGATAGATTTTTAAAACTAGACCATGTCTGGTGCTGGGATCCTAGCAGGCATTTGGCCTGAGTCTGTGACATGCTGAAAGGTAGAAAACTCCTGAATGGACAGGCAGAGGCTTTGTGGAAGGGAGGCCACCCAGAGCCCAGCTCAGAGAGGGGAACTGGTTCATACTGTGCCCAGGGGTATAGTAGTGGACAGTACCCTGCAGACTGGGTATCTGATAGGAAGACTGAGGTTGACACAGGGGCAGGAGGAAGACACAGTTGGATCTCAAGCAGGACAGCACTTGTAGACCGCAAGTAATTTGAGGGGGGAAACTAAGTAAGGAAAGAGTGAAGAGGGGAAGGAAAAGACCTGAACTATTCTTTGGTTTGGGGGTGCGCACAGGAGGAGCTGGGAGAAGCTGGGAAGCTCTCTGCCCCTCTGCCCCAGTGTCACCCAGATAAGGGGGTCTCCCAACTGCCCAGGGTGGTTAGACAGGTCTCCAAGAAGCCAGGGGAAAAACCTGTCGACTCTTGTCTAACTACTCTTTTCCCTTTCCTGTCTGACCTATTAATCCTGCCAAACAGGTGGCTTTTGTTTCTCTTTTTCTGAAATATTTCCTCCTTGAGCTCAGTAAGATTTTCCTGAGGAAGATGTTGCTCAGATTCTTGTGGCTGTACTTGTACCCTACTGCCTCCCTCTGGGCCCACATCTAGTAGCCTCCTTCAAGGTGTCTGTGTCTCCTAAAAGCTTCAGAGAGGGGTACCGCAGAGGAAGGGCACAGGTCCCCTGGCGCATCCACCCTCACTTACATCCAAGCTATCCCTCCACACCCATCCAATGGAAGCATCCAGAAGGTCCCTTTGGCCCAGGACTCTTGGTTTGGGTACAGCAGTAGGTGGGACCTCAGCAGAACCCTAGAGAAAGAGGCGCTGCCCAATTCTCTGGAATGTGTCATCCAGCACTCCCCCCCACTCCCTCGCAACAGCTGGCCCTTGAAGATTTGTTAAACCAATCCCTCACTCAGGATGCCAGCCTGGCACACCGGCTGGTAATCATTTAAGCTGAAAAGCACTTACTAGCAGGGAGATTAACATGTCCACAGAGACAGGCAAAGCCCACGGTAGCAAGATCCTAAGACCAGTGACACCGCTGGCAGGGGTTCTCTTTGTCTGGGGTTGCACTAGGAGCTGCCTAGGGTTCACAGGTGGTGGGACACTGTCACACACATTCAGGGTCACTCCTGGGCACCCTCTTCTTCCCGAAAGGGTTCTTTGTGACAGTCTACTTGAAGGTGGGAAGACTGAAGTTCAGAATCTACAGCTGAACCATCAATAGGACCCTCCCCACACTGAAGGATCCCAGCAGAAAGACACAGAGGCCCAGCGTTGGCATCAGAGCTCAGATGCGCTCAGTCTGGAACATCACTGGATTACTCACCTCCTGCCTGTGGCTCATCTCATAAAGTAAGAGCCAAAGTAGTCAGTTCTGCAGACAAACGCCTAGCCCTGACCCTGGCAAGGTCTCTTCTCAATAACTGTGCAATATGAAGCAAATTCCTTAACCTATCTGTGTCCTGGCTTCCTTATGGACACAGTGAAGTTACTAGTGCTTCTCTGCAGGGCTGTGGTAAAGATGAAATGGGTTGAAGCAAGTAAAGTACTAAGAATAGTGCCTGGCCGAGAGGGAGTGCACACTGTAGTTATTCCTGTTAGCATTATCATTTGGCTTTTCTGCAAGTCAGTTTCCTGCTGCAGGACTCTTTTGGCTGCCTACACAGAGCCCAGAGGGAGGCACAAAGCTAGCCAGGAAGAGATGGCCCAGCTGCCCGCCCACCTCTACCCACTGCGCAAAGCCAGGCCTGCCAACCTGTCACCTGGGATTCTTTTCCTCCTCTTTCCTATTTGCTTTCACTACACACGTCCTTTAAAAGTTTCAAGTAAAAGAGCTTTTGTAGGTCTAAACACTGAAAGCCAATACAACACACAAAACGCCACTAGTACTGAGAGTTGTTCTCTTCATTTCTGTTGAAAATCGCTAGGTAGAATGGATCGCCAGCTTTTTCTTAAGATTTTCTAACTACTGCACATTGGATTCTATTCTAAACCCATAGAAACACCTCTGCACATCAGGAGGTTAGCTTGCTGAGAGGGAAACCCTCTGGGTTACAAGAGGGCTTGGAGAGTGAGGATAATTACTCCCTAACTGGGGTGGGGTGGGTGTCCCTCTGCTTCTCTCCATCAGCTGGGGAAGCCAGGTGCATATGAACACTCAGGCTCTAGAGTCCCTCTAAGAGCAGGCAGGAGGCCAAAAGGCCTTGACCCAGATTGGCCCCCCAGCAGGTCCTCTAGGATAGCCCAGCTGTAGTTTTGTCCTTGGGCCAGCTGCTTGCTTGAGTCCCTGCTCTCCAGAAGTACTTGCCTAGAAGCTGAGACTCAGGAAAATCACACAGCAGCCTCTGGTGCAAGTCATCTAGTCCCCGGTGCTGGGTCTGCCTCCCTGCTGTTCCTCCAGAAGGGCCTGTAGAGATGGTCATGCCCAGGGAACCAGGGAATGAGGCTCTTTCGATATCAAAAGGGGGCATTGCTGGGCATTGTGCCAGGGAGAGTCCAGAGCTCAGTCCTCCATTAGAGGCCAGGGAAGAGTGACATGGCTGAAGGGGGAGTTGGTACTACTGACCAAGGCTCACCTGACCCATCTATAATGGCCTCTGTGCTGCCCTGCTGGCCCTAGCCACCTGTCCCAACTTGATCAGGAGAGCACCACATAGAACCTACGGGCCCGTGGCCACCTGGGTGGAGGGACAGCCTCTGTCACTGATGCGGAGCAAGCTAGGAGTGGAGCCACCCGGGGGCACCTGGTCAAACCGCAGGCCAGCCCTGGCACCCAGCACTGTCCCTGTGCTGGCACCCCACCCTTTCCACCTTGCTGCCAATTCTGCCCCTGGCAGCTGGGCTATGACAACCTCAGATGGCTGTACAGGAAGGTTCCCCCACCCTGCAAACTCCACCACCTGTGCCAGCCCATGGGCTGTCAGGGTGGAGGTGGGGAGCTGTGGAAACTGGTTTTACCCTCTCTGGGGTGAGTGAAGCCAAATAAATAATTTAGAAGTCACCTGTCCCCAGAGAGATTTTAGGTGTAAGCTGGGGGTGGGGGGAGGGTGCAGCGGCAGTGCTGGGGAGGAGGGGTGGAAGGAAGAGGTGGGACACTCACGTCCTCTTGAAGATGCCCCCGAGGGCGCTGCCCAGCAGGAGGCAGAGCTGCTGGGAGAAGAAAACCCAGGAGATCTGGGGCAGCGAGCTATGTGTCTGGCAGCGCAGGTCCAGCAGCGTGGGCCCCAGGAAGGCGATGCACAGGCCGAAGCTGAAGAAGACACTCCAGTAGGTGAGCGTGGGCTGCAGGTGGCGGCGGAGCAGCTCGGACACGCGGCCGTGGCAGCCCATGACCTCGGCGGGCTGGTGGGCTGGCGGGCTCGGCGGCTGGCTCGGAGCGAGCCGGGTGCCCGAGTGCCGAGCCACCCGCGGAGGCCAGCGGGGCCCGGAGGCCGGCTGTGTGCGGGAGGGAGGCGGGGCGGGGCGGGGCGGGGCGGGGCGGCCGGGCCCCACCCCCGGATGGACCGTGCTTAAGGGGCTGGGGGCGCCCTGTCTAATCCCGAGGAGACACCTGCTCGCCCCGCCCCCGAGGCTGCAGAGCCCCTTGCCTCCCTGCTCCAGCTCACCCGCTCCCCGCCCTGCGCCGGGCGCGGGTGGAGTGCGACCCTCACTCTGGAGCCAGGGACTCCGAAAGTCTTCCTAGGAAGCAAAATTCCAGACTTTTGGGAGTGTCCAGGACTTCCACCGCAACCTCAAGGGGTTAAGCTCACTGTCCTTCAAAAGGAAACCCCAGAAACTTGGTATCCTCTCCAGCGGAGCTCCCTGGAAGGGCCTGAGCGCCTGCCCTCACCTGCCCCATATTTTCAGGTGCCGGAGGCCTTGCGGTAGGGTCCAGATTCCATCTGTCCTTCCCGGTGAGGGGAGAGAAGGGAAGTCACCTGGAGAAATCCCAGGGAGGGATTCTGGAGGAATCCTTTAGGGAAAAAAATAAGGGAAGGAGGAGGAAGGGGGGTGGGGGTGGAGAAAAAGAGGACGAGGAAGAAGAGAAGGGGGGGGGAGAGAAAAGAAAAGTCTGAGTCAGTTCTCTCCTGAAAACCCTACGCTGCTCAGGGCATAGGGTTGCTCAGGGTCCAGGATGGCTGTACTTCGAAGACCCTAACATTGACGACGCAGGCTGTTCTTTCCTCCAGGAGGCCACCGGCTCCTGCACTGGCTCCTAGAGACAGAGCAGTAAGGCCCTACAGTGTCACCTTCACACAGGTGTTCTACTACGCAAGAGCCATGACAACCATGCTCACTTGCCATTGTGGGTGACCAGGGGAAGAAGGCTGAGGAAGGGTTCCCCTGCTCACAGCTTGGTGGGAGGGTGAGTAGCCAGCTTCTCTCGAGGAGGAGGCTGGTCCTGCTCAGAGGCACGAAAGTGTCTGCTCCATCCGTCGTCGCATCCTGGGCTGCAAGCACCAAGGGACAGTTCCAGGTCCCAGGGTAGGCAATGACAGGGACTCGCTGAGCCGTGTGAGGTTAAGCCTGTACAATGCTTGTAATAACGTAAAGTTATCCTCTGGAAAAAGACACCATAGTCACATTTTTGAGTTCTCTTTGCTACTGTCACAGAATTACGGAGCCATTAGAAGCTCAGAGCTGCCAGGAGAACAACCTCCAGTCGAGTTCCCTTTCTCCGCTCCGCAGTTGCTCTTCAGTGCACACCAGTGCTGTTCTTGCCCGAGGTGGGGAACCTGCTTCCAGTGGGGGTCAGCTGTAGTGGGAGGCAGGGTCCTGCGCTAGGCACATGTTTACTGCCCACGTTTACTGCTCTGCACATAGGAGCTCCACACAGGGTGGTGGCCTTGCCCCAGCGGGTGCTTCTCCAGCTGGCACATCGAAAGTTCTTTCATATTTCACAGGGTTGGTTGTCCTCTGGGTACATCAGGCTACTGGTGCAGATTCTCTGCTGCAGTGACAGTGACCTGGGTACAGGGAGTCAGTCCACAATGTCTAGGGTGGTAGAAGCATTTATAGTTTGATCTGGGTGGTGATTCCTGTTGGGTCCCAGAGAACAGTACCCCTAAAACGTTGCTTTTATTTTTCTTGTCATTCTGAGCAATTTGATGTAATGAAAATTAAAAACAAGTTTAGGGCTGGGGAGATGGCTCAGTGGAATAAGCACTTCCCTGGCAAGTGCAAGGACCTGAGTTCAATCCCTGGTTCCGGGGGGGGGGGGGGGACAAGTTTAGAGTCAAGCTTTCTATAGCCTTTCTCACCTTTATTTATTTAGGTTCTGGGACTTGAACCTTGGCCCTCATGCATGCTAAGCATACAGCCTGTACTCTACTACAGCTACATACCAGCTCTCCCTGCAGCCTTTCTTGACCCCTTCCCATGAGTACTGTGAAATTCCTTTAACAGGATTAGGGCCACACTGCAAGGGGGAACTCAGTTGCCTTCCACCCTCATCCTGAAATCTCATCACCTGTCTCAGAAAAGGAGACGGAGGGGTGTCACACATGTAGATGGATTTCTATAACAAGATGTCATTCAAATGCCAAGAGATTGTCTCTCGGACCATCTATGACACTTACCAGCATTTACAAACCCTCAAAATGCATACTCTATACCAGTTTCTGAATAACATTATTCACATGCACAATCAGACTCATGTGATTTTCCCTGTGCTGTGGGTCTCCCTTTTGCACATTAGTTAAATGTATACATCTTTGCTCTCACTTAAGTTTTTCAGGGCTGTGAAGATAGCTCAGCGATCTAAGCACCTGCCTTGACAAGCGCAAGGTTCTATCCCTGATACCAAATGCTGAGCTGACCACCAAGATGGCGTGTGGTGGCGCACACCTGTAATCCCAGTGCTGGGGAGGCTGAAGCAGGGGATCATTACAAGTCCGAGCTGTGTAGTGATACCCTGTATCAAATACATTAAAAATTTTTTTTCAATACTGAGGATTCAACCCAGGAAGTATTGAGCTATATCCAGCCCCTTTACAGCAATTTGAGACAGCCTCACTAAGTCATCCAGGCTGACCTCGAACTCATGATTCTCCTGCCTTAGGCTCCCAATTAGATGGGATCACATGTGTGAGCCACCATGCCCCGCTTCCTATATAATCTTTGTCAGTTTATTCCAGCAAACTGTCAGAGGACGGAGGGAAATCTCCCACCATGCCTACATTGCTCATATATAAACATGTAAAAATGTACTAGTCTGTATGCTTGAGATTTCTGCATTTTATTGTATGTAAGCTATACTGCAATAAAGAAAAAAAGAGGGGCTGGGGAGATGGCTCAGTGGAATAAGTACTTCCCTGGCAAGTGCAAGGGCCTGAGTTCAATCCCTGGTTCTGCCAAAAAAAAAAAAAAAAAAGAGTAGCAAAAATGATGGGAGGTGTTGCCCTGCGAATACAATACTCAGCTATTTTGTAGTCAAAGACCTGTTGGGTGCTGGCACTGTATGAAGCCTTGGGTTAAAAGAAGCAGGTAAGAAACAGTGTAAAAATAAGTTGTATTCAGTAGTAGGAAAGGTATGAGAGACCAGAGAGGGAAGTGTTGGCTTCACCCTGAGAAGGGTAAAAGGAGCAAATGACATAGGAGCTGGACCTGAAAGAGAGCATGGGAAAGTCTTATACATTCTCTCTCTCTCTCTCTCTCTCTCTCTCTCTCTCTCTCTCTCTCTCTCCCTCTCCCCCTCATACTCTCCTTCCCCCTCGTCCTTCCTCTTCCCCTCCCCCTTATCCTCCCTTCTCTCCCTCCCCCTTCCTCTGGTCCTCCCCCTACTTTCCCTCCCCCTCCCTCTTGTCCTCTCCTCCCTCCCCCCTCTTCTATTTCCCAGCATCACACATTGCCCATCTCTTTTTAATCAATTTAAAACTTGAAACTGTAAAAGCAAAATAACTTTATTTGGGAATTAGAGAATTGCAATTTGGGAAAAATATGTTATCAGACAGCTTTGAAGAGTGCCCCAAAGAAGCTCACATTGTGAACATTCTTATGAGGAAGGGGAAACCACTGAGGACAAAGAAAGTCCCACAAGTTGCAGGAAGGAAGGCAAGTGGGGAAGGTGTGATGTCCTGACACGAGGCTGCATACATCCCTGGGCTACTTACTATTGATCACTGGGCTTTAGGTGTAAAGTCCAGTTGTCATTTGTGAGGCTTGTTACAGCTGCAACCTCCAATAAAAGGTGTTAATAGTTTTGCAGGCCTTGGTCCTGTTCAAAGGTTCTCATTCCTGTGTTATTTCTGCAGTGGTTTAAGAATTCACTTAACCTGTAGAATGCATGGGCCCTGGTCTCCTAAGGGCTCTCAATTCCTTTTTATTTTATTTTATTTATTTATTTATTTTTAAGACAGGGTCTCACTGTGTAGTTCAGGCTAGCTTTGAACTCACTATGTAACTTGCCGACTCTATCTTAAAATACTCTTCCAAAGTTACTTTTCATTTTATTTACCTTTTATTTCATACTCCTCTGGGAACCTTCCCTGGGTAAATTCTTTCAAAACCCCGTGCCAGAGAGACCCTGACCTTCTTCTTCATCCCACATGACCTCGGCAAGTCAGCTCTCAAGGTCTGCCAGCTACATCTAGACTTCCTGAGAGCCAAGACAGCTCCCACCCTACCCCACCGCCTCACGTCACAGAACCAGCCCAACGAACAGCAAGTCCTGGGTAAATAGCCGGTGCACAGAGATTATTTGCACAGAACCTTTACAATTACTTCAGGTTTTCATTTACATATCTTATCTCCCAATTAAAACAAGCTCCCCAAGGGCAGAGGTTGTCCTAGTTTTCCTTCCTGCTGTGCTTTCAGATGTCTATTCCTGGGGCTAGTGCTGTAGCTCAGTGGGAGAGGGCTTGCAGGGCTTGCCCAGGGCCCCAAGTCCTTGGCTTCGCTCTTGTGGTCATTCCTAAATAAGAGAGAGAACACAGGATGGGGGCTGGCGATGGAGCTCAGTAGTACAGCCCCCATTCAACATGCACAGGGCCCTGGGTCCCACCTCAGCACTGTAAAAATGAAAAGCTCCCTTAACTATTCTGATTTCCCTCTTTCAAATAGGAAGGGACTTAGCCTCATTTCTCACAAGCTCTAGATAGCAATCTGAGACCCCTCAAAGGTGGAATGGCTGAATCCTGGGAGGAAAGGATCTGTAGAAGTGAGGGGTTTTCTAGCTTCTGGGGACATGTTTGGGGGCTCCTTATCTGTCTACAGCCCATCTTCCAAGGTAAAGACCATGGGAATTGTTCACTGCTGGGTACCCTGATTTCTGGCTTTTCAGTGAGGGGCTGGACTAGCCTAAAATCCTGAACTTACACCTGGAAGATGGTAAGCAATAGCCGATGGCTGGTCTTGCACAGTCTGCAGGTAATCTCCATGCCATGCCAAACATGCACACATACCTCACAGCTGCCGGAATTCCTTCATGCACAAAAGTGGGCTGTAC